AGCTAACGAATAGCTAACGAATGAAAAAAATAGAAGAAGAAGTAAAACTGCTGAACAAAAACATACATAACCATAAATGCACCCGGAGCATGAATGCAGAGGGTAGTTGGCTTCATTCTGACAGGTTATGGTTTTGTTATTTATGCATTGAAATATCTCGCATAGAGCTCGATCCTGAACGATAATATGATTGAATTAATGAATCACTATTGGCTACATTCAATGATACTATCCTTCCTAATTCACTGTTATCGGTCAGAATAGAATGAAGCCGACACCCATGGCCCATACCTCTTGTTGTGCCTGTCAGTATTTTGAGTGGTGTGGACGGACTCGAAGTATTAGGCGCTGTTGCAAGATATAATCTGCAAATTTCCTAGAAAATATATCCGTTTTATTAAGGAACGAATTCATTAGCAAAAAAGTAACTGTCAAGTTATGAATCACATATTGTTATATAACGATAGTGACAAATTATAGATACTATCGCAAGATATCATAATTCATCTTCATTAGTAATCAACTTCATTCAGCCAATGAGAGATTTATGGGAATTATTCATAATTCATTGACAAAGTAGTATTGAAGAACCTATTATATCCCATTGCTGTTATGATAATATATAGTTATTGTAACTTCGTACTGGCACAGGGAATCGTATTTTAACTTCATGTTGGTGTGGATTTCCAGAAAGTACGTCTTAGGAATGGTGGAGGAGCCAAGTTCCTCTTTTAATTATTTTTTCCTGAAGTGAAATTTGATCTTACGAAAGAAACAAAAAATACGTATATTATAATTTTTTACAAACTTCACAGTGAGATAAGAACCTCAATACAGGAAACTTCCCCATTTACACTGAAGTGAAGTTGGCGCCGTTTTTTGAAAAACTCATTTTTTGTTGTAGTTCTGTTTGTGCGAGTACATTTGATAGAGTTCTATATAGAATTACAGACTGAAATTTTGAATAATAGATGTAAATAGAAACAAAAATCTTGGAGCGCTTACTCTTCGCAGTGCCGTTTTTTTTTTTAGAAAAGGAGTACTGATATCTGTTCTTGTTGTATTATAAAGAGTTCTGGAGTTCTAAACCTATCTCACCAATAGTTCTGGTGAATGAATAAAGATATGGAATATAAAGAAAAATATTGGCGCTAACTTCACACAGGTTCTGTTTCCGCTTTGAATTTGTCTCAAGAAGATCGAGAATGTCTTATAGTAGGTATAGTAGACATGAAAAAAACATTATTGAGATTAGAGACATTGAACGGAAATAGTATATAGGCGAATGCTGCAATCATTCGAGTAGGAAATTAGCATTCAGTGCAAGTTATACACTATAATTTTTCTACGGCTACAATAGATAACAGCGGCATTTTCGATTTCTTCGTCTTGTAGCCATCTGATTTCCTGTCAAGTAATGCTCATCTATTAGAAAGAACTGTCATTGCTTCACATTTGACATTCCATGAGCGATGAGATTTTTTTGAAATATCAACACAATGGAGTCATTGTGATATCAGATACGGAAATAAAATTGATGATATACAAAATACCTCATTGACGTATCGAACACAGTAAAACAAGAGCAATGTTGTGTTATAGCCGTAGAAAAATTCGAAATTGTTGCTAGAGCTTATAAATACTATTCTGTGTGAATACTTGTGATAGGTAGGTATAATTATTATTCATTCGTCAGTTCAATTCGGTAATGTTATTGACAGTAATCATTAGAATTTCACTTCCAATAAAGGATTTCCAATTTTCAATTTAAAACTACTATTGACTGAACGAACCGGTGTTGTAGTAATTATAATCGAGTTTGAAATTCTGGAACAAAGGATTTCATTTCCATTTCCACATCCTACACCGAGGATGTCGAGCCTCCATTGTTAAACTGTAGGAGTATTGATATGAGATGGCAATTGGCAATCATATTACCAGAATCGATATCGATTGCTGTGAAAATCTCTTATCACGATTATACCTGAAATAGTCCGAAATCGGTTTCACCAAAACCTTTTTGGTGTAAAATTGAATTATGTTCATTTTGACTGAAAAAATGTAACCTCAAAATGTTTTGCTAAAGACTATACTCGGTACGAACCGTGTTACTAGGGCCCTCTATGAGAGACATAGATGAAAACAAATTCTCAGCTTCCGAAACATATCCATACAAAATTTCATCACGATGTTTGCCAGTAGTTTTGACATACTCAATCGTAAAAATTTTGAATGAATACATTCTCCAACACCTTGCTCTGAGTAAAACCAACTCACTTTGCAATCTTCCACCTACCCTAGCAACAGGGCCACCTTCTTTGAAATACCCTGTATAAAATTTGCTATTGAATCGGTCACCGTTCAAAAAATACAAGAGCGGTGCTGCTCAATGTGGGACACACTACATAATATAACTCATGCTACAAAAGTTATACATCCTTTTACCTACTGCCACTATAGAAAGTAGGCAAGAACACACGAGATACAGCCACAGTAAGTAGCTCTTTACGCACAGTAAGCACATCGCACAGTTTTCGTTTATTCCGCCAGTATAGGTATGTCATGATCGCGTAATTGCCGTCAACAGCGGATGACATAACTGTCACTAATTATAATTCAGACTTTGTCCAAACTTTTTTGATGTACTATATGACAATCGGTGAAATATAGTACGTAATGCGTGTTGTAAAGCAATTACGCACTCATGGAATTACGCACTCGCTGCTCCGTGGCTACGTGCGTAATTTTTCCATTCGTTCGTGAAGTCATTCATTCATGAATCAAGTAATAAGAGTAATAATGACAGTAGGATGGCGTCATAATCTGGCATCCCATCGTCTTGTCAAATTGAACTAGGTAGGTATTCGTTCTACTAGTTCTACAGAAGCACACCCCTATACTACTGTTTGTGAAATAGACGCAAATTCAAAAGACCTTAATGCTACAAATACACGGATAAATGAAAATTCACCTTTTTTCATTCTCAACAGTGACTACCATCATGAGTAACCATAACCATAAAATAGGACTTGACACTTGACAGTTGCAGATTGGCTCACACTTTTGTGCGGGCTATTCGAATAGATTAGTACAGACCAATCAGAACCATGGAACTTCATTGTTGATAACTAGCGTCTAGAGACAGGGTACTACAATTAATCATCGCGGTGGGGGAATACTACAGCGGAAGCAAGTTAATGAATAATCTGCAATACTTGCAATAGTATGATTCATTTTACAAACCTTAGCCGTGGCACTTGATATCTCCAAGGCATTCGATCGAGTCTGGCACCACGGACTCCTCGCCAAGCTTCCTCCATATTATGGCTTGCCTCCCCAGCTATGTTCTCTGCTAGCTATTTTTCTCTCAAATAGGTCTCTCAATGTAATGGTCGACAGAGTTTCATCTGACTCTCTTATCATAAATGCTGGTGTACCGCAAGGATCAATTATAGCACCAACACTATTTCTACTCCATATCAACGATTTGTTGAAAGCAACTTCATGTCCAGTACACAGCTTCGCGGATGATAGTACCCTCCATACCGCCTTCTCTTCCAGGGCTACAATCTCCAATACCAGCCAGGCAAATCAGAAACGAACGAGGGAGAAATGTTGACAACATAAATATGGACTTGGCAGCAATTCTAGAATGGGGATCCAATAACTTGGTAGATTTCAATGCAAGCAAAGAACAAGCATGCTTTTTCTCTAGGAAAGCCGATCTCACTGTGCCCAAAATAAGCCTGTCAGGAGTAACAATACCTTTGAAGACAACCATTTCGGTGCTTGGGAAAATCACGTAAGATCAATTGCTAAAAGTGTATCCCAAAAACTTGGTTTTCTGTTTCGGGCCAGGAGCCATTTCACTTTCAGTCAGCTGCTTATGATCTATAAGGCACAAATCCGACCTGTCCTGGAATACTGTTCCCTTATTTGGAGTGCAGCACCCAAACAAACCCTGAAACTGTTGGATTCTGTCCAAAGGAGGGCAATTCGTCTCTTGGGTGATGCTTCGCCCACAAACTCACTCACTTATCTGGAACACCGTAGACAAGTTGGCTATCTGGCCCTATTTTATAGATATTTTCATGGAAGATGCTCCTCTGAAATATCAACAATCATTCCTCCATTGGCAGTCCCCGCGAGATTAACCCGTCGAGTTGAGGCTTCGCTCCCCTTCGTGGTCACTTTGAAGACCTGCAGAACATCTCTTTCCAAAGAATCGTTTATTCAACGAACAGCGAGGCTCTGGACACATTGCCAAGGGAGGTGTACCCCGAGGCATATAACCTCCAGTAGTTTAAGAAAAACACAAATTCCTACCTTATTTCCCTTGGTTCTCACGATGTTCTCTGAACATTACAAGATATCCGTCTTCGTGGGAACCAGAACATAAAAAAATAACAAAAGTATACATCCCATTCGGAGGCCACTGACAGAAACATTGGAAAATCTCCTGCATCAAAAAATGCCTATTAGAACTTGGTAGATGCATGCCAAATCCGATGAAAATATCTAGAACAGAACAGTATTGAATTTATGATAAGAAAACGATTAATTAACACCCTATAGCTCGAAAATTGAGAGGTTTAGATTAGAGCATATATGTTCATATGAACTTTTCTCCTTAAAATGAGCCAAGGAACCATATCCTATATTTTTTGCTAGGATTCAGATGTGTTCAATCATATGACATTGTGATATATTCATTTGTTGAGATTGTCTTCAAACTGTGCGTTTTGCTTACCGTGCGTAATAAGCTACTTACTGAGGCTGTGTATCGTGTGTTCTTGCCTATTTTCTACAGTGCTCGTTGGTAAACAATAAAACAATTTAATTTACTGTGGACGTTTTTCGCATTATCAATGATGAGTGTAATTGGCCAACGAAATCGATATTGCATAATATGTAATCGTATCGAGTTGGAAACTCTGGAACAGACGGGGGATTTTTTTTCTGTGGGGATTTCATCTGAGTTTTTGTTCGTTTCTTTGCAGGCCGTCGATTGGTGGTCGGTGGGAGTCCTGACGTACGAGCTGCTCACCGGAGCGTCTCCATTCACCGTCGAGGGGGAAAGGAACACGCAGCAGGAGATATCCAGGAGGATATTGAGGACGACACCGCCTATTCCAGAGTGTGAGTCTAACCGAACTGAAACAAATTTCGTGTCTGAAGAAATACAAAGCTGAAACCAAAAAACACATTTTTAACTCACCAACGAAATTTTATGAAATATTAAACTCAATATAAACTGGAAACAGATGAGAAAAATATTCTTTCGGAAGTGACGTCATATTCATTATTATCAATATAAGCTGCCCCACATTTGAAGTGGGACAAGCAAAAATTTCAATCATATTCAAACTGTCATAACTTTGGATTGGATCAACCAATTTCCAATTTCTTTCAAGATTCTGATAGCTCACTCCATTGAGTAAAACGTCAGTACTTTCTTGTTATTCCACCTTTTCGAGATGAAGACCTACAGGGTGATATTCGAAAAGTTTGGGATCACCCCGTTTCACCTGGATTTTTTTTATGTCTTATTGAGGGCGATAAAATGTAAGACAATGAGTTTTCCCGAAATGGTTTTGAATTTAATATGATTCATACAGGATGTTTCGATGTATGGAATTTTTCACATTATATTGCAATTTTCGGCAAGTTTGAGATCGCCCCGTTTGGCAGGGATTCTTATTATATTTCATTGAGGGCGATGAGATAAAGCATAATGAGTTTTCTGGAAATGCTTTTCGATTCAGGAAGACTCATACAGGAAGTTGTGATATATAGAATTTTTCACAATACATTGCATTCTGATGTTCAACCAACATATATTCAACTTCAACAGAACTTTAGATTAGCTCATCCTGCTCAACGCTATCACTATACAATGTCTTGTACATTTTCAAACATACCGGGTATCATCGAATTTCCCAGACAAACCATGGTTTCCAGATTTCCAGAGGTATGAGATGCGAATTTGGCAGGGGTGTAGAATTCGAGAATTGGTCAATTTTTCGAAATTCCATTCTCTCCCATCACTTCCCGGTTTGACCAGAAATGTGCCCATTTTTCAATTTCCAAATGAGACATCCTGTATTTTATGCCATATGTGGTTAGGGAGTATCATAACGAATTCAACAATACTGGGTTTGAGAGAGTTATTTCGAACGATTACGAAGATATTCTCGTTCGAAATTTCCATATTATGCTCAATAAGACGTGTGACAGAGAAAATGTTTTTTTTTTAGGCAATATTATGTTGTCTTCAAACTCCAGTGACAATTCTCGCACGATGTGGTAGTTCATTATCATTATCATCAACCAGTATGAAATTGCTACCAAAAGTTTTGGGCAACTGAAACGACAACTTCCCTTACACAATGAATGTCTTATCTCTCTCAAAATAACCAACGATGGGCAACGATTCATCATGTCAATTTTATTTACTTAATATTTTTTCATTACAAATATTGTGTTAATAATAATTATTAACGGCATTTTTTTCGTAATATTTCAATTTATTTCTACATCCCCTATATTCGAAAATGTACAACACATTGTGTAGTAATGGCGTTGAAGATATGCCAATGTGAAATTCTGTTGAAGTTGAGTTTATGGTGGTTGAACATATCAGAATGCAATTGAAAAATTCCATACATTCAAACATCCTGTATGAATCCTCTTGAATTCAAAACCATTTCGAGAAAACTCATTGTTCGTCATTTTATCGCCCTCAATAAAGCATAAAAAAAATTCCCGGTGAAACGGGGTGATCCCAAACTTTTCGAGAATTATCACATTTTCAGATATCACCCAGTGGGTCTTCATGTCGAAAAGGTGGAATAACAAAAAAGTACTGACATTTTACCCAATGGAATGAGCTATCAGAATGATGAAAGGAATTGAAAATTGGTTGATCCACTCCAAAGTTATGACGGTTCGAAAATGATAGAAGTTTTTGCTTGTCTCACTTCAAATGTGGAGCAGCTTAGAACCTTTGTATATAATCAAGGATAGAACACACATTTTTGAGTTCCTCTCATGACTTTGGCTCAAATCCATATATCATACCCTTCACCATAATTTTAATTAATCATTCCAGAATTACGTCATTTGACAGGTTGCTGAGGGGCAAACATTGTATTTTGTCAAGAATTGTCATATAAAACCAGAATTAGTGGGATCGTTTTCCTTGGAATCCGAGTTGGAAACAGAAAGAATTTCATAATTTTGTTTGGTGAAACTGTTATTATATTGTGGACGTGGCAGGTATGGCCAGGGCTATGACCATCAAAGGTAACCTAACATTTAGTGTGTGTGCCCCTCAAGAGACCATGTCAAAATCACGTGTTCTAGAATGATCAATTGCATTTTCTGTGGTGTATGAATTATGTAGGAAGGAATAAAATGGCAAACATTGAAGAATAACATTGATGTGATGACAACCGTTTGACAATCACATACAATCAAAATGACATAATAATCATCAATAAAAAACATCAAAGTTTAGATTATATCAATTTTTGGATCTTTGGGTTGAATCAATTGGATTGATGGTACATACTGAATAATAATTTTGGTACGTGGGCTGTGGGGTAGGTGGGCGTATTTCTACTATGATTAATCAACAATCATTCCCTAGAAATTGGGTGTTATTCCATATTATCAAATTTTGATAGTAAATGGAGAATATTGAAGTGAATCATGCAGTGAGCACCATATTAAATATGGAAATGGAAAGTGCATTGAAACTTTTATTTGTTGGAGAAATCATGGATTCATAAGATGACATAATTAAATCCAGGATGATGAAAGTTTCATACTGACCTTTTTCAGAATGTGCTATAAAGAAGTCCCAGAAAGTGAAATTTTGTATGAGATTATTGTTCCAAGACTCAATACAAATACCTTTCAGTGGCTCATTTTCCATCAGAAGAAGAACCATTCCCTATTCCGTAACAACTATTTTTTTTCAAAGTTTTTTGATTAAAAAAATAACAAGATGTTTATCAAATGCCCCTTTTCCTCAAACATTCCACCACAAAATAATCAATAAAACGGTGATTCTGTCCCACTGGTGACACTAGCAATGTCAATAAAACACAACTAGTGATAGGTCCATAATCTTATAAAAACAAAAGTCCAATAGGTATTGATATATTAGAGGCAAATCGGATTGTGAAAATATAATGATTTGTTTCTTTTTCAGCCTTAGGTACTGATGTGGCAGACTTTATCAAAAAACTGCTGGTGAAGGATCCTAGAAGGCGGTTAGGTGGAGGAGAAGAGGATGCCAGAGAACTGAAACGGCATTCCTTCTTCAAGAACCTCGACTGGACCAAGCTGGCTCAAAAACAAATTCCTGCTCCATTCAAACCTATCATCAAGTGAGTACCTTTTTTAACGATTGTTGTACTCACTGGGTCAGCCAGATTGGGTACCTACTTCTGTAGGGGAAGTTCTGTTTTGACCTACCTGATAAACTGGGTACGAGTAGAGCCCTGGCATGGGTACAAATAGAGTCTCATGAAAGAAACAGTAGTCTCCTCACGAAAAATATACTTTCTATTAAGAAGCTTCATTTACTCTGCAGAATCATCGCCAGATAATTGATATTCTTCATAGTTGTATTTTCAGATATCTACCAAATCGATATTTGTAGCTCTCGCATGTGATTTTATTTTTCTAGAAACGAGTTGGACGTGTCGAACTTCAGTGAGGAGTTCACTGGCATGCCGCCCAGATTAAATAACAATAGACACCGATATAAATCATTGAGAAGTATACACATACTATCCTAAATGTCGATCACTGTTAAATGAATAAAATCGCGAATGGTGTGGATAACTCGGCAAAATCATTGCCAGATAATTGATATTCTCCATAGTTCTATTCCATATGTCTACCAAATCGATATTTGTAGCTCTCGCATGTTGCAACTTCAATTATATAAGCCATTTTGTGATTATATTTTCCTAGAAACGAGTTGGACGTGTCGAACTTCAGCGAGGAGTTCACTGGCATGCCGCCCAGATTAAATAACAATATACACCGATATAAATCATTGAGAAGTATACACAAACTATCCTAAATGTCGAACACTGTTAAATGAATAAAATCGCGAATGGTGGGGATAACTCTGCAGAATCATTGCCAGATAATTGATATTCTTCATAGTTGTACTTCATATATCTACCAAATCGACATTTGTAGCTCTCGCATGTTGCAACTATAATAATTATAAGTCATTTTGTGATTTTATTCTTCTAGAAACGAGTTGGACGTGTCGAACTTCAGCGAGGAGTTCACTGGCATGCCGCCCAGATTGAATAACAATAGACACCGATATAAATCATTGAGAAGTATACACAAACTATCCTAAATGTCGAACACTGTTAAATGAATAAAATCGCGAATTGTGGGGATAACTCTGCAGAATCATTGCCAAATAATTGATATTCTTCATAGTTGTATTCCCTATATCTACCAAATCGATATTTGTAGCTCTCGCATGTTGCAACAATAATTATAAGTCATTTTCCTAGAAACGAGTTGGACGTGTCGAACTTCAGCGAGGAGTTCACTGTCATGCCGCCCAGATTGAATAACGAAAGACACCGATATAAATCATTGAAAAGTATACGCAAACTATCCTAAATGTAGCTCTCGCATGTTGCAACTATAATAATTATAAGTCATTTTGTGATTTTATTCTTCTAGAAACGAGTTGGACGTATCGAACTTCAGCGAGGAGTTCACCGGTATGCCGCCCACCGATTCGCCCGCCGTCGTACCGCCCAACTACGACAAGATCTTCAAGGGCTACTCGTACGTGGCGCCTTCGGTGGGCGGTCGGCCGCCTTCGAACGCAGGCGCGGGGGGGATACGGAGGGGGGCGGTGGAGCGGCCGCCTCGCAAAGACGCCGACAGCGCCTTCTTCCGGTCGTACGAGGTGGATTTCGAGGAGGAGATGCTCGGAGACGGCACCTTCTCGATTTGCAGGTAGGGATCAAGGAGCAAAGATTACTTACTCTTCCCTCATTATTTATTCTAGAAACTGTGTGCCTAGTACATAAGAACAGATCATCTTACGCTGGTTTTACTCGCCAAAACGACAAGCTAAGATTACCCAATCCATCATCAAATTTGATAAAAAAATCGCTGGTCTATAAAAGACTGTTGGCCTGCGACACAGGGTTTATCGATGTTCTAAGTCTGTATGCCATTTAAGGGACCCTTTCATTTAGTTCAAGTTAACAGGAAGAAGTGCCTCGGAGAGTCGCAACCCAGTCCTTGCCCCGGCCCTGACCTCACCTTTCGGTTGGAAAAAAGTTCAAAATTATATTTAAGAAGAAGCTCGGAAATGAAGTGCAATGATATTATCTCACGAAAATTAGGGCGCTTGCCGGTTTGCATACGCCTAGGTCACTCCCCAAGGGTGGCAAACGAACCGGAAGTTTCAATTTTTCAGTGTTATAGTCGATGATCTAAGAATGTATGCCCCATTGATCAATTTCCCGACATTTGCATACGATTCCGGATAGGGGAGCTGGACTTATTCGAACATCATTTGACTGGATATCCTTCAAATAATCGAGAATCGAAGAAATGTTCAAATTTTGACCATAGCTGATGGACCACACAGTATTATGATGAAACAATTTTCATATCTGAACAATGATTTGCTGCGTTAGCCAGGTAGAGTGTAGCACGTAATGATCTAGGCATTCAATAATGTTTTTCCCTTTTATCGGAGATCCGATATTTAAATATCTCGAAAACCCTTTACTTTTGTATAATGCATATTACAGATTTATTCAATTGGTACCTTGGTGAAGCCCTTCCCGCAGAGGTTGGTGACATCATAATCTCTGAGACTTCATCTGAGAAAGTATCAGGTATATCTTTCGATCATGCCAAGATTTTTCGATAATTATCCATTCAAAATAATATTCTTACTAACAGGTACTGATGACAACTCTGAAGAATCATCTCCAGACAGCGAGAGCGAAGATGACTGAAGATAATGATAGAGAGGACGACGTATAATTTTTCCTTCTCTCTTTCTCTCTTCTCATCTTTTCAAAGCCCTGTTTTTCAAATTAAAATCACACAAAAAAATGTCTTGGTACTAAACCTCTCACATTGTGAGGCGCTGGACCGAGGCACGCGCGGGTTTGCCTGATTATTACAACGTATGCTCACATTGAATTCGTATACTAATAGCATCCAGTTATACAGAATATCCTAGTTTATCGGTCCAGAGATGTGCATACGAACTTGAATAATCGATTATTTGAAAGATGTCTAGTCAATTGATGTTCGAATAAGTCGAGCTCCCCTCTCCGGAATCGTATGCAAATGTCGAGAAACTGATTAATGGGTCCGAATTCATTGGCTGAGCGCCATCTTCTCATCATCATCTCAATATTTTTTTCAAATAGAACACCCCGTATATTATTCCATTTTCGAAATTTGCTCATAATTCTCTCAACATTTTTCTCTAATACACTGATGACATAGCACATTGCAATTTCTCTAAATCTTCTAGTTTTGATTTCAAACTTTCAATTTCTTTCCGCATCAACCCATTCTCATTTTCTTTTTCTGCGATTGTATTTTTGAACGTCGATATTTTATAAATTGACGGCTCAGCAGACTTTTTCAATTAGAAATCCATCAGCTTGAAAGAATCTCTATCAAAATGGGACTAAAATTCATCTTTTTTGTACTGTTTTTACAAGTCAATTTGAATATTTAGCTCACATATTGCGGATTTCTTGAAATTAATTTTCCATTCTGGACGTTTCATTGCATTCTTCCCTTTAAAGGATCATTCGGAAAATTGAATAACTTCAATCCCTCTTCTTATGAATTGTCGCAATAATGTACGCAGCAGGACATTGAAATAATTTGAAATGCTAAATTTTGGCGGTCATAAAATTCCAAAGTGACAGTGACAGAAATTCGAAATAATTAAAAAAAGCGGGCGGGACGACTATGGTGTTTCGTCACATTGTCAGGTGGGCAAACCAAATGAAACAAAATATTAAAAACCCCAACGGCTGTCAGTTTTGTGTCCGGACTGTTGTCTAATGTATATACAGGGACTCTACTTTTTACTAATGCAAAGTGAACAAAAATATTAGGTCAGATTTATCGTTACATACTTTATAACGTGTCAACCTGTACTTCATCTTTCAACCTTGTCGTTTGGCAGGCGGTGTGTGCACAAGGAGACCGGCAAAGAGTACGCCGTGAAAATGGTGAGCAGGGCGAGAGATTGCGGACAAGAGGTGAACCTGTTGCGCGCCTGTCAAGGCCATCCTAACATCGTCACGCTGCACGAGTTCGTCCAGGACGACACTCATTCCTACCTGGTGCTGGAGTACCTGAAAGGTATGTTTCAACACATTAGCGCCGGAATTTTTTTTCCTTTTTTTCTTAAATTTTATGACCATTAACTAGTGTGAAATGCCTTCGAAAGACGAGAAAAGTTCAAAGAATCATAAATGGAATTCAGGTTTTTCAAAAATCTGCTGTTGCCATATGGCAACACTAGGCGCTTGTCATACATGTTTTGGAATATTAACACAAATACCTCCATCACATTTTGAACACAGTCTTCGTCAGAATCCAGCTATTTTGCATGGCTACGTCTAATACCCAAGTGATTAGGAGCCAGTACGAATTCCTATATGCGGTAATAACTGATATTTCGATCCATCTGATTCTTAATCACACGACATGTTTCGCTAACACAGTGGCTTCCCAACCTGAAGGATTAGCATTACCTATGGAAAGGTTCGATAAACCTTCATTTTCGGAAAATAGGCACAATATCTACATTAAAATATGGTGTAACGGATTAACTTGAAAGGGTTGATAGCAAATACATACTATTACCCACTAAGAAAACAAATTCAACAGTGGTGATCTATTGAGGTCTAGTTGATCTATAAGTTAAATGCTAGAATTTTTGAGTTTGTTGATTCTAATGATTCAAAATGATTGAGCTTTATTCCTCTATTTTCTACGTGTAGAATTTTGAAATTATCAAAACTATGGTTTTCTTATAATATATGGTTGGCGTATGTTGAATTTGTTTTCTTTTTCCAAAAATCCATCTCATGTTCATGAATGCGCTGATTGAAAGTACGACATGTCTGACCGATATATACCTTAGGACAAGATCCACAGTTGAGTTTGTATACCCCAGATTTCTTTAATTTAGAAGTTTTTATTATTTTTGATGAACCTTCCAAACGTGTTATTCATTCAATATGCTATTTTTAAGTCCTGAAATAGGTTAAAGTTCTATTTGTGGATCTTGTCCTAAGGTATATATCGGTCAGACAGCTCGTCTGTTATATAATCACAGTGTGCATTCATATTCAATTCTTCATCTATCATTACTCCCAAGTACTTATAGGTTTTGACAGTCTCAATTATGCCATTATTAATCATCAAGGTCATTTGAAAATCATCGTGTTTCAATGTTTTATGTTTGTTTTCCAAGATTCAGCATCAGTCCATTACAACCACGTAAAGATACGACTGAAGTCCTCATTCAAAGATGATTCAACTTCTTCTGGTTTACCAGCAAAGTATAACAAAGTATCATCAGCGAATAATTTCAATTTACATCTCTTTACTTGTATGCACATTTAATTGAATTCACGAATTTGTGTTCCTGACTGATACTGTTACAAACAAGAAGAGCTACAATTTCATCAACGGATTTCAAAAAACTGTATGCCCGAATTCCAAATTATGAACTCGTGGAGATGATTTCATGCTTTTCTCATTGAATACGAATGTTTCTTATTCCTCCAGGCGGCGAGCTGTTCGACAGGATACGAACCAAGTCGAAGTTCACCGAATCCGAAGCGGCGTCCATTCTGCGTCGACTCGTCTCCGCGACGCATTTCATGCACTCGCGAGGCGTCGTGCATCGCGACCTCAAGCCCGAGAACCTCGTGTTCACTTCGAGCGACGCAGACGGTGAGATCAAGATCATCGATTTCGGCTTCGCCAGATTGAAAAGGGAGAAGGAGGCGCTTCATACGCCGTGCTTCACGCTTCATTATGCCGCTCCTGAGGTGCTGAAAGGCGATCCGGAGGTAGGCTTTCCGAGAAAATAAAGTATTTAATAGCGTTTTCCACTCGCCGGTTTACAGAGCGCACTAGCACAGAGCAAGTACAAGTGGCACTGGCTCGGTTTTTCCATAAAGTATGGTCCCAGCACAGAACAGTGAAATAGAAATCGAGAGTTGGTGCGGCCATCTTGTCATCAGAAAAGTCAGAATAATTGATTTGCAATCAACATGAAATGGATTCATCTATCTCTTATTGTGGTTTCCTTGTGAACACTGCCAGAAAACAGCCAGAAACAGTCTTATATATGAATACTCATTGTTAATGATGTTCAATTGAATTATGCTAGTGATAGTGATGTAGCATTGAAGTGGCGTTCACGAAGTTAGTATTTTCCATGATTACTGAATCAACAATCAAATATGTTTAATACCTGCACATCTGAATAGCTTTCTTCAACTTCTAGGTAATTTTGAATCTTCTGTAAACCCTGTTTTGTAAGGAAGTACTTCTTTATCTCAATCATTATTTTTTCATCATCGCCGAAGTATCTATGGTTTCGGAAATTATTGTAATACGAGTAATAAACTTCAAAGGGACATTCATAATTATTCAAATTCCAAATAATTTATCACTCGTGACTCGAATATTTGAGGTTATGTGTATCGCACCGTCGTTAATGAACTCAATATAAACAACGTCGTACAAGCACAGTTCTGAAAACTCGGCGGGCATCGAGCAAGTTTGAAAGCCAGTGGAAATCATTTCTCGACAAAAGTTTGCTCTTGATTTTCTCAGTGGACCACGCAAATCGCACTCAGTGCCGAAAAAGTTCGAGCTAGTGCGACGAGTGGAAAACGCTATTTGTATTTCATGTTTTGATCTGTAACACATACTATAGCAGACCTACTAGAACAACTGACTAACAATAGATAGACACTGTGATTCATTCATAAAGTATTAGAAACAATCCTAAACGCCAAACACCGATAACCGAATGAAATCGTGAATGGTGGGGATAAATCTGTGGAATCATGTTTTAGTGGCAATTTAGTAATCTAATAAATCGAGATTTCTATTAATGTGTGTATTTCCATTAATAAATTAACTATCACGTGTTGCAGCATGATGATATCGTCATTTGGAACGTATTCGTGAGGTTATTTGATATATTCAATATTTTAAACACGCTTTTCCTCAACGAAAGCAAGCCATCAAACAATTCCCCCACTGAACCAAATTTCTACGCACCTGTGAAATATCGGGCTGGGATATTTGTAACTAACTTAACAGATTTGACACTGCTAAATCATATTTATATAATTGAATGTGTTATTGAAACACCGAGAACTGATCGTTTAATAGCCGGAAAATCATTAATAGCAACTAGAACAACAGATGGCATTTCATACTACGATTATTGCTCATCTACTACGATATTTTGCGGTACCGACAAGTTCATCTTTAAATAATCCATATTTTTCATATTGTAATTTACCTTACAATAACTAATAAGTATTCAATTATTCTTATTGAATGTATGTTGATGTTGTTAAGTGTTAAGGGTTGTTCTATCTTTGTCATAACCTAGTTATGCCGAGTTGAATGAGATATTTTATCCAAAAAATCCATAGATGACTTGAGCTCTAAGCTCTAAAGTTTGATTCGCGGTCTATGGACTCAACCTTCCATCTCCGCCATGAGATGGCGTTAAAATGGCAAGATCTTCATCTGAATCTTGGATACCATATGAAACGTCATTTTAAATTCAATTTCGATGAGTTTCAAAGGGTTTGAAATGTCATTTGCAGGGCTACGACGAGAACTGCGACCTGTGGAGTCTCGGCGTCATTCTCTACGCGATGCTGTGCGGTCATGCGCCGTTTCACGCCAGGTCGCGCGACGAGACCGTCTCCTCCATCATGGAGAGGATCAAGAGCGGCGATTTCACCTTCGATTCGCCCACCTGGCAGGTAAATATCATGGAGCGGTTTTTCAGTTATACAGAGTGAGTCATTGAAATGAGAAAGTGAGATAATTCGCGATAGAAAATAACAAGTCGCACCTGACGGCAGCAACTTGAACACTTCTGAGCGGTTTGTTTTGATGATATGACCAATAAGAACAAACAAAAAACAAATGTGAACCAATGAAAACAAAGTATACATGCCGCTTTGACAGCTATCAAGAACTCCGATAGGTGGTGTACGCTTATTTTCTATCGCGAATGGCTTTGCTGTTTACGATAGACGAACAAAAATTTTTGTGATGGTCTAGGCTCATGAGCAGCACATATCCAAAATATTTCGCGTTATACAGGGTGACTCACAAATCAAATCAATATTTTGTTAACTTCTTTGATGGAAAGTATACAAGGTGAGTCATGAGGAACTGTAAATACTCCTACCACGAATAGAGGCCCTTGAGGAGAATAGCTAATGACCATCAGAAAGTGTCTTTTTCTCGTCTTTACCAATATACAGGGTGAGTCTAGTGTGTTCTCCTTCTATATTAGCCAGACCGTCAGATATATAGAAAAAAATTCGAATAGGGTTTCTTGGGAACTATCACCTAAAATTATTTTCATATCTATAGGAAGTTCGTATTCCAAGATATCGGTTGATGATAGGTGTTCTCAAATGAGACACCCTGTATATCATTACATTTTCAGATTCTTCCTTAAGAGCTAATTTCATCAATGTATCGCACTTGGGGACTAGCTGAAATGTATATAGAGATATAGGGTGTTAATAATCTACATTTTTCAACTTTGTGATTTTCTTGTGTTGAAACGGCTTACATTTCCCTAACTCAACTTTTGATTCCCCATCTACTGACACCTATTTTGAACAAATACAGGGTGGTTAAAAAATCAAGATTTCTGATCACTTTCAATTATTGTTAACAACTTTTCTTGTAAAGATTTTGCTGAATTTTCTGAAATAAGGGTATTTTACTCTTGATCAATTTTTATATGTTTTGACCTACCCTGTATGCTGTTTGACTTGCAACTATTCTAAGTGCATCTAAAATGATTACTGAGCATGCACCAACTCTCGACACTATCTGTATTTTGGTTGTGCAATTCATTGAAAAGATTCCCATATGTTGCACACTTAAATGACCACACTGTATACAGAGCTGGGCATTATTTGTTTTCAAAAATACTTTATAGTATTTGAATACTTTTTGGCATTCAAATACCGAGTATTTGAATACTTTCTGGTTCAGCTAGTTATATTTATACTTACATTTGTTGGAATATATTTATAACTTAGTTCAATACTCAATATTCAAATACTTTTCTCAGAGTATTTGCCTAGCTCCGACTGTATATTGGAATAGAAGTGAAGAAGACACTTTTTGTTGGACCAGGGGCACTATTGGTGATAGGAGTATGCACAGTTCCTCATGACTCACCCTGTAAATTGTACGCATCCTTACAGGCCGTGAGCGACGAGGCCAAAGAAGTCGTGCGAGGGTTGCTGACGGTCGATCCGGCGCGAAGGCTGCGTATGGTCGATTTGCAGCACAACGCTTGGATCCAGGGCAGCCAGAGCTTCCCGCAAACGCCGCTGATGACGCCCGACGTGTTGGGCAGCTCGGCGGAGAAGAGCGTGCAGACCACCTTCAATGCCTTCCATCTGGCGGAGAGAGAGGGATTCAGGTAGGGTTCTAACGTGGATGGATGGATTCAGACGAAGTGTCTATGATTCAATGTTCGGGGCAGGTAGAAAATCTCACAGTCAACTCCAGTCAACTATACTTTATTCAACATTGGAAATGGGACATGTTTCGAAGCTTCAATGCTTCATCATCAGCAACAATTATTATTTGTTATAGGAAGTACTGAAACGGAACGTCTCAGGGGTTGAGTGGGGTTGGAAAAATAATTCGGAATTGTAGGCGGTGATTTGGCTTTTATTATTCAATGGCAGTTTTGGGGGAAATTGTTCAGTATCACCCTTTAAGGAACACCCTGTATATCCCTATTAGGAACAATAATGTTTTTTCTGTGACGGGAAAAAATTTTGGCATTTTATCTCTGTTGGCAGGTTATAAAATGTCACTTTCCATAAATTACTTTTTTCCCGTGGAAAAAAGTGAGTAATTTTTCCTGGATATATATCACATATATATACACTGTTGATGGCTCTTGTTGTGCTATAGTTCCGAAAAATGAGTCAATAATACCGTCTCCGAGAAAGAACTGCATGTCCTTTTATCTTCCATTCGACTTGGCGTTACGTATATTACTGAACAACCACTAAATCCGCAATTTTTTTAAATAAAATTACAGAATCAGAATGACAGAAGTGACATCTGCCTACAACGCAGGTGTATAATATCTTCTCAATATCGATTTGTCCTTTCTTCTGTCACAGAAAAAAATAGTGTATCATACACGGGAAAAATATTAGATTTTTAGCTCACGGTTTTTTGTCTCTCCGTGACGCGTCGGGAGACAACACAACCTGGAGCTAAAATCTACTACTTTTTTCCCTTGTATAATAAATAACTATTCTTCGGGTAATAAAGACAATCAATCAATCCATATTTCCATTTGCAGATTGCAAGACGTGCTGAACGCCAAACTCGCTCAGCGCAGGCGCATGAAGAAGAGCTCCTCGGACAACAACAGCTCCTCCTCCTCCTCCTTCACCAGCGACAGCTCCCTCAAAAGCGCACCCCCCACACCCCTCAAACGACCTCACCACCCCGCCCCGCCCCGCCGAAAAACCGACACCGACGAACGCTCCGAGGCCACGAACGCCGACCAGCGTGTGGCCGACTCCGACCAGCGTGTGGCCGACTCCGATGAGCGTGTGGCCGACCCCACGGAGCGCGTGGCCGACTTCCTGCACACGATGTCGCCCGATCCGATCGACCCGAACGCCTCCGATTCGGGCAGGTTGTCGGGCGATTCGGGCGCGATGCGGGCGTCGACCGGTTCGAGCGGGATCGCTGTGTCCGATAAGAATTCGATCGACAGCAAGAAGGGGAAGAAGGTGCGGCAGAAGCGCGTGTACGTGCAGAGCAGGCAGAGCGAGCGAATAAGGTATGTTCGACGGTATTTTTGCGATTATTCTCCACTCATTTCAAGATACACGTTTTTGATTGGTTGAGATGTCTGTATTTTTTTCACTAACCTTTAGGTGATAAAATTTATATTACATCAACTACAAATTTCACAAATATTTCAACACATTTGCAACTTGTATACTGGGTGTCTGTAAAAGGTTGGGACAAGACTCGGCTGTGGACTTCTGGGATAAAAACAAGTTGATTCAGGCCAACTTACCTATATCCAAAATACAAATTTGGTGATAACTTTTCAGAGGTCGGACTGGAAACTTCCAGTTTTTTTTCCAGGATACCTAATCCTAGAAAAATGTATGAATTTTAGGTTAAGATACCAAGAAGCGGTTTTCGCGAGCTTGTTTAGGCATCATTAAGCAATTTTTTCATGCAAAAAAAATAATACCGATGCATTTGATTTTTTTGAGAAAATCAACTATTTCTGTCGGAATGTCGAAAAAATCCCTCTAGCAGCGACATGTGCAACTAACAAAGCTTCAAATATCAAAACATTTGTAGCCCAAGAATAGCTCTTTTCAACTTGCTCAAGTTCGTCAAAATCGGCTTCGAAGATACAAGGTGTTTTTTACAGGAACTTTCGAATACCCCCCACCACTTTATTTTTAGAGATACAGCAGAAATTGTTGAACAAAAATGGTTCAGATTTTCATCGACAATAAAAATCAGGAATTTTTTTGTTAGGTTAATATAGCGGAATTCACCGAAAAATAATTTTGTAGACTCAAGATTGCAGTTACGCACCCTAGCGATCATTTGAGAAACTTGAAAATATTTTCCAGGTTTTTCTCTTGGGCGTTTTGGTAATACAATTTTTTGCCGCAAGTCCCTACGATGGATAGTTTCCTAGATACAGTACCTCGCATTCTTAGTTGGCCACCCTGTACAAGAAAACTATAAAAATGAGATATGATGTCAATATTGCAGGAGTAGATGTTTCTTGAATTCCTTTTCAAATTTTATTAATCAGCTTCAAGTTATTTAGTAATGACAATTGTATTCCATTGTGATATATCGATCTCTTACCATTATCCTAAACACATATTTTTTTTGTTTTTTGTAGGTTAGCCTGAGTAACGTTTTTGTTCACACTCGCATTTACATAATAAATTTGAACACTTATTGAATTTCCTGATGAGTTATCTACTTTGGCGACTTGTTTTTCACAGAAATGCATAATTTGATTTGAATCACGGTTGAAATTGAAAAAAATCAGTTGATTCAAATCAGGATTTAAATCATTTGATTTAGATCGTGGGAACCCTGGGCCACTGTGATCATTTACATACTGATAAGGGCTTTCAAGAATGTTTCTCCTTCCTCTCGAATGGTTCAAAAACTCTAGGCTCTCGTGTTTGGTTTGCAGGCGGACGAGGCTGGAGATAGACGGCGAGCCGCCCGTCGAGTTCGTCTCGCTGCCGCACAGGACCAGGAAACGCAAGGCGACCGAAGAGCCGGAAAAACCCGACGTTAGCCGAGCGAAGAAATCGAAAGCGGAGCTGGCGCGGCGCGGCAGGAAACGGGTGCAACGGTAGACCATATAGTTTTGTTGTTTTTCTCCGAGTCGTAGTCGTTGTTTTTTTTATTTTTTCTTGTTGGTTTGCGAGTAGTGTTGGGTGGGTGCAGGGAGATTTCTTGAGAATACTCAGTGGCGGATTGAGACGTTTTGAAGACTGAGGCGCAATATATTTCAGCGTCCTTCTCTCCATAAAAAAAGGAAACGATTTCTCTAGCATTTCAAGAATTATTGAGAGTGTTCGAAAAATTCTATTTTATAATAATTTCAATGCTGATGATTTTTCGCTGATGAATATTTATCTGAATCAACTCTCGAATACAAATACAACAACAAAAACGAAATACTGACATACAAAAATAAAATTAGTTTTATATAGAGAACAGTATTCATTGCCTTTTCTGCCAAGTTATCTGGAACACTTTCCAGGTTTACTTCCTCCATTACTTCTTTTTGAATAAAAAGAACATAAAAATTTCAAATTCTCTCGAGATATACCGGGTGTCAAGGAATCTATTATAGGGAAGTGAGATAAGGTATAGGAACATTGTATAGGAATAAATTTGCATATTTTTCACTTTCCGATCACTTCTGGTTTCACCGAAAATAGCTCCGGTATTAATTTTCAAATGCAACACCCTGTAGGTGTATTGTAATAATTTCAGATGTCGGAGACAATTCTAGACCATAATGTGACATTCTCAAAAGTTTTTACACCTACTTAATTTTTTTTACAGTCTAGGAGGCCATGATTGGACGTAAACTAATATAATGACTTCAGGTGATCTCCGGAAATTACAATCGCAAAGCTTTTGTAGCTAGTATGATAGATAAAAATCATGTAAAAACTTGACAAACGATAAGATTTCCACAAAATTCTCAAACAGACGACAAGTTTCGCTAACACAGTAGCTTCGTCAGGTGATATACTCAAGTTAATCCGGTACCTACACCTTATTTTAATATAGATATTGTTGTCCAATTTCCGAAAATGGAGGTTTATCGAACTTGTTCACAGGTAACCAATCCTTCAGGTTGGGAAAGTAGGATATATAAAAGTTGAGCAAGCCAAGGTAGGTTAGTTTAGTTCATTGTACCAGTAGATCGCCTGACAAAGCTTTTGTGGAAATCTTATCGTTTGTGAAGTTTTTACAGTTGCCATGGATTTCCATCAAGTAACGACGGAACAACGGTATGTTTTGATAAATCTAACGATACTAATTTATTTGCGATTGGATTAAAAATGAGAACATTAATTAAGTATAAAGCATAAAAATTTTGCATCCTTATCCAGAATTGTCTCTGAAATCCAAGAATGTTACAATAGGTGTACAGGTGATTCCATTGAAAAATTCCAAACCAGAGCCATTTACGGTGGAACGGGAAGTGACCAGGAAATGCACATACCATTTACCTATACCAAGTCTCATTTTAATACACCTAGTGTTCTAAAGTTCTAGCCAAAGGCGCATATACAGCAGAGCTTGCGCTTGGTTTGGCGCCCCCTTGCCTACAATTCGCCACTGCAATCTCATTCGTCTCAATTTATCTGTCAGATAATACTTAACTGCCAGTTCATTGACATTATGTCATTTTATCCAGCAGTACAACTGTCCAATTGCTCATCTGTTCGTTTCAACTGGTGAATTAAGTCAGATAAGTGCAGGGTAGCCCTCAATATACCGCATAATTCATGTTTTGTTTTGTGTCACATAACCTTTTTTATGAAGTTGTATCAGAAACAATATGGAATAGAATATTGATACAACGAGAAGGGCAAATTATTCACTTGTGAAAGAAGGAATATATTCAACGGAATTCCAATGAAATATTCAATCATTTCCAATATTGACAATAAAGTATTTTCTGCATCCTGAATCTTCCATTGAAATCATGGTCATTCCAATTTCCACAGTAGCTATGTCCTCATAGCTACTTATCCACGTAATCTTTCCACAAAATTTATAGAAATAAATAATTATCTTGGACCAAAGTTCAAACAAGAGCATTTAGGTTAGAATTTCATTGTTTGTGTGCAGAATTCCCATTGACAAAGAGTAGAAGAAGAACCAAACTGAACTTTCTCTGCAGGCTAATATTGTCGGACGAATAACAAACTAACGGATGAAATTGGAAATTGATAAACTGGCCTTGAGTCCAACGTTTAGATTTCATTGGTCAATTCTGCAGAATTCACAAAGGTCGCGATTTATTCAGGCTTCGCCAAAATAATTATTGAGAGCAAGACAAAACTTTGCAGACAAAAAACAGAGATTTCTATGCTATATGCTATTATACCATGTGGATCACTCAAGGCGATCCACCTGAATGACTTTTCGAAAATATGATATATTAGGGTGTTGCATTTACATTAATAACGAAGTTAGTATTTGCATTTGTTGAAGATGTTCATCTTCAATAAAGAATCCTCTAAAAGCTATTTGAAAACATCCGGGATGTCAGGATTAGAAAATTCCGAACTCGAATATACAGGGTGATTCACATAAGAACCGACATAGAGCAGGGGCATGTAGGGGGTCCCAAAATATGGCAATTTAACGCAACTTACCTCCATACCAAGTTGCTTCCCTAAGGAGATATAGGCTTTGAAAGTGAAGTTATAAATTTTGAAAAAAATCAATATCTTCGTTATTCTTGAACTCAAAGCAACCAAATTTGTTACACTTTGTGGATGTATTCAGGGCGTTACTTGACAGTAACTAGAGTTTGATTGAAATTTGTAAAGGGGGTATACCGGGTGGCGCACCATCAATATTCAACATAATTTTGTTATCCCTTGATGGATTTCGAAAATCTTTGCTTTATTTTGTGGGCAATTCAATTCTAAAACTTTTCTTACTCTAGTAATTTTTCGAAAAACCTCATCATTTTCATCAAACACTCGAATAACTGAAAACGCGCGCTCTAGGTGTGTTATTTAAAATCATCGAAAATTCAAAAGTTGGCTATGAAAATAAACGTCAAACTTGACAATGAGGCAAGTGAGCTGTTCAGTTAAGTAATTGTTGTTTGAGTGTTTTTAAAATGAACGGGAAGTTTTCTTTAAACGAGCAAGTTGACATGCTGTTAGTGCTATGCCTATAACTCCTTAGGGAAGTAACTTGGTATAGAGGTAAGTTGCGTTAAATTGCCATATTTTGGGACCCCCTACATGCCCCTGCTCTATGTCGGTTGTTATGTGAATCACCCTGTATTTCATTAATCAGCAAAAAGATAATATTTTACATTGTTTCTGTCATCCATAACATCAAAATGATAATGATAATAGTACAGGGTGGGCAAAATTGGGCGTTTTCACCGTCTATCTCAATAACTAGAGGAGTTATCGAAAAACCGATATACATGTTCCGGGTTCGATTTTGGAGAAACCTCGAATGGTACAATCAAAATTTCGATATCTTCATTCGTTTTAGATATACAGGGGGAAATTGAAAATTTGCCGATTTCGATTTTATTTTCTGACTACTTTACGGTGAGGGGTATCAAAAAATTTCAAACGTATATTTATACAGTATGATGCGTGGAATCCATTGGCATCATCAGAAATTTTATACAGGGTGACGTTGAGAAAATACGGCAGCCAATTATATTTTTTCTAATGGAACACCCCGTATATTTTGGCACAGTTGAATAGTCCCAGGCGCTCTCATTACAAATATTAAATATATATATAACCCTACTTTCTTCTTCCACAATATCAGATATATTCGCAAAAATATATTCAGTCTGTCACATTTCTTATGGTTACACCGCCGTATCTTCTGTAAGAATGATTGGTGGAAACATTAACAATCATAATATTTTGTGGCAGAATGCCTGAATATGATACTTTACCCATTATTTCTAGTATGCCTTAATATTTTTGCGTTCAAAGAGATAATAAATAAGATATATATTTGAAATTGAAACGGGAACTTTCCAGCTCGCCAAAATATACGGGGTGTTCCATAAAAAAAATTGTTCTGTATCTAGAATTTGGACATCTTCTATGAGGCTATATTTTTCAACGCAACCTACTGATTTCCTAATTGAGTAAATTATTGGTCTTATTTCTGTATCTCAAATGTCTTGATGACAATGATATCAAATCGAATAATTTCCCATTTTATTTCTCACCAAATATCCATTTATCTAAAAATTACATTCCCTATGATATTTATTTTCCACATTTGGTGAATATATACAGAGTGTCATTTTCAACCTCGATTCTGCCTGTTGATAGCATTATCCAGAAATATCGATGATTCCATAGCTGCTGGCGAGCAGTGTTATCATTGGAGATGATCCCACTTGGTCCATGACTCCATGAGTGTATCATTTGTATCTTTCTGACAGTTGCGAATTTTTGAATCCTACCCCAATTATTTTTACAGAAGATACGGGGGTGTAACCATAAGAAATGTGACACACTGAATATATTTTCGCGAATATATCTGAAATTGTGGAAGGAAAAGGTAGGGTAATGTAATTGTAATGAGAACGCCTGGGACTATTCAACTGTGCCAAAATATACGGGGTGTTCCATTAGAAAAAACATAATTGGCTGCCGTATCTTTTCAACGTCACCCTGTATAAAATTTCTGATGATGCCAATGGATTCCACGCATCATACTGTATAAATATACGTTCAAATTTTGATTGTGCAATTCGAGGTTTCTCCAAAATCGAACCGGGAACATGTATATCGGTTTTTCGATAACTCCTCTAGTTATTGAGATAGACGGTGAAAACGCCCAATTTTGCCCACCCTGTACATTCAACAACAATATTCAAATGGCTATCGGCCGAAGTCCTTCCGCCAACCATAACATCATTGACCTATATTTTCTTATTATTATTATTATATTATAACGTCGATTGTTCGTCTTCCCCACATGAAATATTGCGGCAAATTCATATAATGAGACTATCGGATATTTGGGAATATTCCCACTGACCCAACACTATTCGCAAATGATGTACGGTTAGTCAAAATGGATGCGTATCGAGACTTACGCAAACTTAGGCGTCTACGTTTGTTACCAGAGTAAATCTGAATGTGATAAAAATGGTAATACGAAAAGTTGAAATCCCATGTTAGTTCTTTTCGGATTTTATCTGTGGTCCAGTTGTTTGTTGTAAGGAAGGTGATGTAAAACGATGGGATTGAAAATTCTGAAAGGCTGTGATAGTTTTCTCGGCAGTTTTTGCGAATTCTCTTACGCCAATCAAAATTCGCGAAAATCAAATATATGCATGCTGTGACGCTGTGATTTGATCAACAGAAACTGAAAATCATGGTGCCTTACATACTAATAATTATTGTTTGACATTTTCGACGCAAAACTTGTTTTG